TCTCCTCCTTAGGCGCGCAGCTCCGCCTACTTTCCGGCCCAGCCACGTCCTTTCCGGCTCCGCTGAGCCGGACCTCAGCATCTGCGCACGCCCCTTTCTTCTCTCTTCACGGCAGCCCTCGGTGTACTCCTTCTCCGCCGCCAGGGATCGCTCAAACGCGCACCTTGCGTTGCTCGCCGCCGCCTTGCTCGCCGCACCACCAATGCCGTCCACGCCAGGATCGCCGCCGCCGCCATCGTTGCCGCCACTGCCGCCGTCTCCGCTATCTCCGCCATCTTCAGCCAACCACACAGCCAACCCCCACCCCTCTAAGGGTGGGTACCCATTTACCTACTTGCAATTAGGTTGCTTTCGAGACCGCTGGGTAGGCGGGAGCTGGGACGAAGGTCGAGAGCTCACCTCGACCGCGGTGGTACTCAAACAGCCATAGTGGCTGCTCAGGTGATGTTACAGTGCAGGCGTTTAACTGCCTGCGCCACCGCTCCCTATTAAGAGGAAGTATAACATATCAAGAAATATAATCACTGCAAAACAGTATACAACTGTCCTGAAACTCCAAAATTACAAACCAACCAGTTAGTCATCAATACAGATTTTTACAACATACATCAACAGCCATAACAAACTAAGTTAGCACTAAATCTGATTACCTATACATAGATGCCATGTGAGCTATGATTCCCATAGAATTGAGTCAAGTTTAAAAGATAACATCTTCAGGAGTCTGCTGCCCTGATTCACAAGAGGAGTCTCGACAGTAAGGTGGAGGTCTGGTTAAACTCAAAAGTGTAGCCATGTATGATAACTCGTCCTAGAAGGAAGCACATTATTTTCAGCCATGAAGTCAAGTACAGGGAACCAGGTACGTACAAATTTATCATATGTTTTGCTGGAACTGTTTTGTGCTCGGTCCACCCCAAGATCACATTAGCCTTTTCTGTCGCCACTTCACACTAGTGGCTCCTGTTTAACTGACAGTCCACCCGTGCCCCTAGATCTTGTTCACTCACTCTGCTACCCAGAAGTGTATCCCCCATCCAGTAAGTGTGTTCCCCATTTTTGTTACCCAGGTGTACACTGACAGTGCAGACAAGACAGTCCTGGATGGGATTGCACACACCCCTGGGAGGAACGGGTTCATAGTTCAGCACTGCAGCTGGATCCTGGCCCCCCTCTGTGGCACACGGCACCTTTTTATCACCTTCTGTCGATACACTGGCGACTCCTGCTCCTTGACGAGCGTTCCCTGATCTCAATGATTCACGCTCTGATCCCATCCATGTTGGTGGTGATGGAAAGGGCTGTCAAGTTGCAGCCGACTTATGGGGACCCCGTTGGGTTCTCAAGGCAAGAGATGTTTAGAGGCAGTTTGCCAGTGCCTTCCTCTGCACAGCAACCCTTATCTTCATGGGTGGTCTCCCGTCCCAAGTACTGACCAGAGTTCCCTCTAAGCTGAGTTAGTGTGAGCTAGCTCACCGGTTTTTAGCCTCCGGCTCACACTTTTTAGTCTGAGCTCAGGAAGGGATGGCTCCAGAGCAAACTGGTTTACGCAGAAGCCAAATCGCTCGCTCACAACTTTCATGCCAGCAGCTCACGAAGTAGAATTTTTTGCTCACAGGACTCCACGGCGTAGAGGGAGCGTTGCAGCCAGTGTTCCCTCTAAGCTGCGTTAGTGTGAGCTAGCTCAGAGTATTTTAGCTTCCGGCTCACACTTTTTTGTCTTAGCTCAGGAAGGGAGGGCTCCAAAGCAAACTGATGTACGCAGCAGCCAAATTGCTCGCTCACCACTTTCATGCCAGCAGCTCACGAAGTAGAATTTTTGCTCACAGGACTCCACGGCTTAGAGGGAGCGTTGGGGCTGACCAGGGCTCACCCCTGCTTAGCTTCCAAGATCAGATGGGATTGGGCTGGGCCATCCAGGTGAGGGCAGGTGGTGGAAAGTTCTGGGCAGATGGGTGTGCTGGACCAACCAGGTACAGCCAGCTTTTGGCAACCCCTCATGGGGGTTTCAAGGCGAGAGACAACAGAGCCTAGCCCGGACCGTCCAGGTCAGGGCATCACACCCCCATCACATTGCCATAATGTGCTTTACGTGGAAACATCACTGAAGACCGTCCAGGTAATTCACCTGGTCTGAAACGTGATAGGTATACCTTGTCCTGGGGAGAGAGCGGTGCAGGAATCATGCCAGCCCTGTTCCGAAAGATCCGCACGGGCTGCCTGTCTGTTCCTGAGCGCAAGCAAAGCCCTAAGCAGCCTGGAGCCGGGGTGAGTGAAGGACCGCCTTCTGCTACGGCTGCCAGCAAAGGCCACTTCAGCAAGTAAAGATAAAGGTTCCCTTGCTCGAAAGCCAGTCGAATCCGACTCTGGGGTTGCGGTGCTCATCTCCGTTTCAAAGCCGAAGAGCCAGCGCTGTCCGAAGACGTTTCCGTGGTCATGTGGCCGGCATGACTAAACACCAAGGCGCACGGAACGCTGTTACCACTTCAGCAAAGAGAGCGGCAAACAGAGGCATGACTTTCTCAGTTCCGTGTAGTGGTTTGGTGTAGTGGTTAGGAGCACGGACTCTAATCTGGGAGAACCGGGTTTGATTCCCCGCTCCTCCACATGAAGCTAGCTGGGTGACCTTGGGTCAGTCACAAGCAGTGTTCCCTCTAAGCTGAGTTAGTGTGAGCTAGCTCACAGTTTTTTAGCCTCCAGCTCACAGATTTCTGTCTTAGCTCAGGAAGGAGGGCTCCAGAGCAAACTAATTTATGCAGCAGCCAAATCGCTTGCTCACAACTTTAATGCCAGTAGCTCACAAAGCAGAATTTTTGCACACAAGACTCCACAGCTTAGAGGGAACATTGGTCACAAGTTCTCTCAGAGCTGTTCTCTCGCAGGGAGTCTTTGAAAGAGCTCTCTCAGCCCCACCTACCTCACAGGGTGTCTGTTTTGGGGAGAGGAAGGGAAAGGAGGTTGTAAGCCACTCTGGGACTCTGAGTGTAGGGTGGGGTATAAATCCAATCTCTTCTCCTTCAGTGGCAGTGGGGTGCATGGGAAAGAGCAGGTAGAGAAAGAGGTACTTTTCTCCCTTTCTCACAATACAAGAACTCGTGGGCACTCCATGAAACTGCTGAGCGGTCGGGTTAGAACGGATAAAAGGAAGTACTTCTTCACCCAAAGAGTGATTAACACATGGAATTCACTGCCACAGGAAGTGTTGGCGGCTACAAGCATGGACGGCTTCAAAAGGGAATTAGATAAGCATCTGGAGCAGAGGTCCATCAGTGGCTATTAGCCACAAGGTATAGATAGGGACTCTGGGGCAAGTGATGCTCTGTCTTCTTGGTGCTTGGGGGGGGGGGTCAACAGTGGGAGGGCTTCTAATGTCCTGGCCCCACTGGTGGACCTCCTGAGGGCACCTGGTATTTCTGGCCACTCTGTGACACAGAGTGTTGGACTGGATGGGCCTTTAGCCTGATCCAACATTGGCGTCTCTTATGTTCCTATGTTCTTATGTTCTTCCCTCTTGAAGCTCATCTGCATTGGCTTTTAGGTGTCAGATGAAAACATTCCTTTTCACCCAGGCTTTCTCCAAATATCACACGTACCCACACCCTTGTTTTCCAATGGACATTTGTGGGGGATGCTGAAAAAAAATCCCTGTGATCTTTTTGTTCTTCTGGTGTGAATGAAATGCTTTTGTAAGACAAGGTTTTACCCACTCAGAATGTAGGGCTGTCAATTTTTTTCTGATGGGAAACTTGGGGGGGGGGGGGGGGGGAGAGTGATGTCATTGCCTGCAGAATTGAATGCAAGACTGTGTTTGGGTGCCTTGTGTAGCTTGCTGGATTTGTCTACGGAAACCCCGGTTTTGGGCTTCCCTGTCGGGGTTTTGGGATGGCCTCGGGCAAGCTGCGATCAGCCTAACCTCTCTCAAAGGCATGTTGGGAGGATAAAATGCCACGCTGAACTCCCTTGCAGGAGACTGGGGCAGCTCTGCAACAAACGCTACTTTGGAAATTGTGTTTCGGCCTTCGACAGAATCCCCCCGCGTGCAGCCATCACCGTAGTGACTTGCCGTGCGTGTTTTGCATAAAATAAAATAAAGCCAATGCGGCTTTTCTCTGAAATGCAAACTATTTCTCTTGCAGTACCTTGGCTTCGGAACCCCGTCAAACCTGGGGAAAGGCAGGCGAGCGGCCGCGGCGGCAGACCTGGCTAACTTGGGCGGAGAGTCCAGCACGCAGCAAGACATGGAAGAGAAGGACCGTTTGCTCCGCCACGTGGAAGCCAGGGATCTCATTGAATTTGGCATGATCCCCGAGTTTGTGGGACGCCTGCCGGTCGTGGTTCCCCTGCACAGCCTCGATGAGAAAACCCTCGTGCGGATTCTTACCGAGCCCCGGAATGCTGTGATTCCCCAGTACCAGGCGTTGTTCAGCATGGACAAGGTTTGACTTTACACTTGCTACTTAAGACTGTTTAGGGCATATCTTATTGTTACGGTGTTCATTTTCAAGAGAGCAGCAGGATTCTCACTTTGATACATTACCGTTAGCATCGTCTTGGAGAGCGGAATTTCTTTTTCCACAACTCACCTTTTTTTAGATTTAACTGTTGATTCCTCTTGTTCCTTCTCTCTTTCAGAAGAGGGATTTCTTTTCGATGTCTCTTTGTCGTTTTCTGGCTCACCAGACAGTGGTGCTCTGTGTACTCTCTTGTAACGTCAGCCTTTGCAGTTTGTTTTTATGTTACATGCCACAGGGGTGTGCTCTGCCAGGAGGCTAGGAAGGCTTTGGAATACATTGCCTGCCTCTGAGCATCTGCAGAGTGAAATTCTGAAATTTTGCAGAACGGCTTCTTGCTCTTCTTCTCTGTAAATTTCTCTTCTGATCAAAATGAAATTGACTCGTGACTCCAGATTCTTAGAAAGAGGGAAGGAAACCAGCTGTTTGGGAAAAGAGGAATTAAGAAAACTCCTCTTGACAATGCTGTTTACAATTATAAATGGTAGCAGTGTTCCCTCTAAGCTGAACTAGTGTGAGCTGGCTCACAGTTTTTTAGCCTCCAGCTCACACACTTTTGTCTTAGCTCAGGAAGTATGACTCCAGAGCAAACTGATTTATGCAGTAGCCAAATCGCTCGCTCACAACTTTAATGCCAATAGTTCACAAAGTAGAGTTTTTGCTCACAAGACTTCACAGCTTAGAGGGAGTATTGAATGGTAGTTAGGAAATTGCAAGTGAAATACCAAGCCAAGTGTACTTTTTCCTTTTCTGTTTTCCAGTGTGAACTGAACGTTACCCAGGATGCCCTAAAGGCTATAGCCAGGTTGGCTCTGGACCGCAAGACAGGAGCGAGAGGCCTCCGGTCTATAATGGTAAATAGCTGTCTTGTCTTCTCTGTTTTTAAATGCCTCTCATGCAACTCGATGGAACATATAAAAGCAACCTTGAAGAATGTAAATAGAATCTGTTTTTTACAAAAATATTTATAGTGGTATAAGATAAACTATCATGCAAAGTACAAAGTGCATTGTTACCCTAAAAGACATACAAATACAAGCGGGACATAAACCCTGCTGAAATACAATCTTAAAGGGACCAGGCCTAGAAACAATCCTCTTAGGCTGTAAGAACACAAAGAAACATTCTCTGTAACAACTGAAAACAAGTCCCAGAGCTTGAAGGTGCCAAGGTTACAACAGGCCTGTTTCGAATCAGTATCTTTATCAAGCTGTTAGTCGTTATAAGGCTTGTGGGACTTCTACTAGTTTCCAAGAATTCACAAGCACGTGGCAGCAAGTGCCCTTAATGACAAGCTTGAGATTGATACATGAAAGTAATAACTTCTCCGTATTTAGAAAGCTAACATAGCGGGAGAGGAGTGGAAAATCTAGACAGTTCCCTAGTGTACTAGTTTCCAGCGTGCCAGGAGAAAGAGCCAGTGTAGTGTAGTGGTTTATTTATTTATTTATTTGATTTTATACCCCTCCCTCCCCACCAAGGCAGGCTCAGGGCAGCTCAGAGGGGCAGACTAGTATCTGGGAGCCCTGAGTTCGAATCCCCGCCCATGCCACGGAAGCTTGGGTCAGTCCCATTCTGTCAGCCCGGTCTTCCTCACAGGGTGGTTGTGATGATAAAGTGGCGGAGGGGGATGTAAGCGGGGTGTAAATGAATTGAATAAATAAAAATAAAATAAGGAAGAATTTTTTACATAATGGAGCATTCAACCTTCCAGCCGTCTGCCTGAAGTTGGGAGCGTGGATCCCCCATGAAACCGTGCCACTGTAATTATTCTGAACTTGTAGACTTGGCTGTAAGAGAGGAGGTGGAGCTTGACAAAAGATTGACAGTGTGGTGTAGTTGTTAGAGTGCTGGAATGGGCCAGAGGAGGACCGTGACTTTTGCCATGGAAGCTCACTTGGTGATCTTGGGCCAGCCTCACCTACCTGAGAGGGTTGCTGTGAGGATAAAAAGCAGAAGAAAGGGCCACGTAAGCCACTTTGAGCTCCCTTAAGTAATCCAGAGCAGAGCTAGGGCGTAAGAAGATCAGTTGGTAACTGAAAGCAGCGAAGCTTTGCACAGGAAATGGAAAGATAGAAGAAGAGATTGGATTTATACCCCGCCCTTGGAGTCTCAGAGCGGCTTACAATCCGCTTTTCCTTCCCTTCCCCACAACAGACACCCTGTGAGGGAGGTGGGGCTGAGAGAGCTCTTTCGAGGACTGCTCTCAAGAGAATAGCTCTGAGACAGCTGGTGACTGACCCAAGGCCACACCAGTAGCTGCATGTGGAGGAGTGGGGACTCAAACCCGGTTCTCCCAGATTAGAGTCCGGGCTCTTAACCACTACACCAAACTGGTATATAACCAGGGCTGACTTGAGATGTCCTTAATAGAACATGGGTACCTGTTGAAGTTCTCCTGTTCATGCTTTGTTGGAATGGATTGGAGCTAGGGGTCATTTCCTGCAGGAGTGCACAGGAGCGGAGCTCCGGCAGTAAAGAGCCCAGGGGGCGGGCACATGCAACAAGCCCCACCCCCTACTCCCAGCAGCCCTCAGTCAGAGCAAGAAGCAGCCAAGTAAGTTGCAGAGCCCCCCCAGCCCCCCACCACCCAAAACAGTCCAGTGGCACTTTTAAGACCAAGTATTATTCAGGCACAAGCTCTCCCTCCTCTGTGAGGACAGATCTACACGTTCCCCCCCCCAATAGCTAGCAATCCAAAACAGTCCAGTGGAGTCTGAGCGGTGGGTGTTGCCTTCTGACACACTTCCAGTGATGTCATGGGGTGTGGCATATGCAAATAAGTTATGCTAATGAGCTCCTGCACCTCTTTTTCTACGAAATGACCCCTGATTGGAGCCCTAAGGAAGCTGTATTCTTCCATAGCTCCTTCACACAAGAGAACTTCTCGAGGGTCAGCTCTGTTCACATCTGTCACGGCTCAGATGGGGTGTCACCTGGCGTTGCCACCACTCTGGTTTTAGGATGCCTTGAGAAGGCCCAGAGCACCCTCCCAAGACCTTCAGACCTCCCTTTTGGCCGAATAATAGGTGTGAGGACCAGGCAGAGTAAACAACAAGGAAAAGGTTTATTTTATAGGAGGTCAAACAAGCAAGATGCAGGAAGAACAACAGTAAGTGAGTGAAAAGAAAAGGAATCAAATGCCCTAATGTGTCTAAATATACGGTCCCTAGCTCACTATCTCCAGTGGCCTTGGACCACTCACCCTTCCCTCAGAATGAGGGTTTCTTCCCCACAGCAGCCTCTCTTCTGTTCTTGTTCCCTGGGAAGAAGAACAACTCTTCCTCTGTACCAGCTCTTTTATTATGAGTCCCTTTTCTCTTTGATTGGCTAATTTTGGCTCCAAAATCTCTCAGGGGCTTCTGGGAGTTGTAGGCCTAATCTCCTCCCACTGCTACACAGGCTCCCTACTGGCACAGCCCAAGTCATGACAGCGTCCCACTCTGCTGCCCTCAACAAATGCCCCCAAACCTGTCTCCTCAAAGCTGCTCATAGGCAGGACTGTTCCTGTTTCTTTTTTTAAAATTGGTTGCTAAGCAGAGGAAGGCGGTGGCAAACCCCCTCTGCTCCTCTCTTGCCTCCAGGGCCAGATTAACCATGAAGCAGACTAAGCACGTGCTTAGGGCACCAGGGCCAAAGGGGGCACCACAAAGTTGGGGAAAGGGGGAAAAGGAAAAAAAAATGATAAATTGATAAAACTAGTGCACATTGATCATGGTGCACCCTAGGGTTATCTTCTATTTTTTGTTGGCGAGGTGCAGTGTCCATAGGCTATGACGCCAAGATGGGGGGCACCAAGATGGGTCAGTGCCTTAATCCGCCCCTGCTTGCCTCGAAACCCCTTGGTCCTGGGTTCACTGTGAGCCAGCTGTGACTTTAAAGGTAAAGGTTTCCCTTGCTCGAAAGCCAGTCGAATCCGACTCTAGGGCTGCGGTGCTCATCTCCGTTTCAAAGCCAAAGAGCCAGCGCTGTCCAAAGACGCTTTCCGTGGTCATGTGGCCGGCATGACTAAACACCAAGGCGCACGGAACGCTGTTACCTTCCCACCGAAGTGGTACCTATTTATCTACTTGCAATTTCTTGCTTTCGAACGGCTAGGTTGGCAGGAGCTGGAACTAGAGACGGGAGCTCACTCCGTCATGCAGCACTCGGGTCTCGAACTGCTGAACTACCGACCTTCCACAGCCTGCAGTTTAGCGTCTTAACCACTTAACCTCACCCTTTAAAGGTAAAGGCTCCCTTTCTCGAAAGCCAGTCGAATCCGACTCTAGGGTTGCGGTGCTCATCTCAGTTTCAAAGCCAAAGAGCCGGCGCTGTCTGAAGACATTTCCGTGGTCATGTGGCCGGCATGACTGAACGCCAAGGTGCACGGAACGCTGTTACCTTCCCACCAAAGTGGTACCTATTTATCTACTTGCAATTTCTTGCTTTCGAACGGCTAGGTTGGCAGGAGCTGGAACTAGAGACAGGAGCTCACTCCATCATGCGGCACCCGGGTCTCGAACTGCTGAACTACTGACCTTCCACAGCCTGCAGTTCAGTGTCTTAACCACTTGAGCCACCACAGCTCCTTCTTTAACTTTAACAGCACACTGTTATGATTGTTGTTGTTATTGTCATCATTACAACAAAGTGATTTCACTTGCTGATTAAAGAGAGAAAGGGTTCCTGGCACATACCGCTAAACCTTTACAGACTGTATTTTGCTATGGGAGTTGTCCTGACGCATTAGGTGAGTTTGGGGGAAGCTGCTGCACCAAACAGCTGCGGACAAAGCCTTGACTGCTGTTCCCTTTCTGGTCCCCCTCAGGAAAAGCTGCTGCTAGAACCGATGTTTGAAGTGCCCAATTCCGACATTGTGTGCGTGGAGGTGGACAAAGACGTTGTGGAAGGGAAGAAGGACCCCGGATACATCAGGTAACGTTGGCCTTCCGAGACCCAATGGGTCGGGACCGCTAAGGTAGACGGGCATTTCTCAGCATCCCTCGGACTTGTTTGGGTGCGGGCCTCCCCTCCCCTCCTCGTCCAATGTTGTAGCCGCCCCTCTCAGTAATTGGCTTCGGAGGTAGCGGTTTTATTATATTCCATTTACTTTTTATCTATAGTCTGCCTTTGTCCTCAATGGAGACTCAAAGTGACTTGTGTCATTCTCCGCTTCTCCTAAGTCAATGGTGGCGAACCTATTGCACGGGTGCCAGAGGTGGCACTCAGAGCCCTCTCTGTGGGCACGCATGCCCTAGAGGGACAGTGAGTGGCACAGAGGCCAAGACCTTCCCCTAATGTTGCCTCCTAGCACTGGGATTCAAAGGTTTACTGCCTCTGAACATGGAAGTTCTCTTAACTCAACCATGGCCAATATCCATTTATTGACCTCTTCTCCATGAACCTGTCTTACCTCCCTTTTTAAAGCCATCCGTGCCCGTGGCCAGCACTAATTCTGCTGACAGTGAGCTCCGCGGTTTAATTTCTTGTCAATTAAGTGTTTCCTTTTGTCCGTCCTGAATCTATTGCTTCTCCAGTTCCTTTAGCAAGGACTTAAGTTCGGCCATCTCCGCAAGCGAAGTTGAGCATTTCTGACCCCCCCCCAAAAAAAAAAAAAATTCTGAAATGGTTTTTTTTGTTCTTCTCTCCCTTTCTCAAAACACCGAATCCCTCCTTGTTTGGAACTGCAGGGCAGCCGCGAAAGAATCTTCGGAAGAAGAGTACGATTCGGGAGTGGAAGAGGAAAGCTGGGCTCGCCAAGCAGATGCTGCAAACAATTAAATGCCGTCAGAATAACGCCCCGTGGGAAAGGCACTTAATTTTATTTTTTTAATTTGGAGACCACCCCCACCTCCACCACCCCCCGGCTGTGTGCAGCGTACTGATAACTTTGGATCTGTCCTTAAAACGATACATGGTCAGCAAACTTTTGACAACGCTAACGGGGGATCAGATCATGTATATCTGGTAATATCACATTGATTTGTTCATTGGACACTTGACCTGCAAAGGTAGGATGTTTAGAAATTAATTGCATATGACGTTTTTCAGTGTCTTTTTTTTTTTTTTTTTTGCTCTGTAGGGCTGAGGCAGAGGTGGGGGCGGGGGGGGCACGCCGTGTGAATGTTCCCCCTGCAAAGTGCACCCTTCCCCGCCCCTTCTGGCAATCTTTGGGGGGTGGGGGTGTTTACATTTTTATGCGTAGGGGAGGGGTGCTGCAAAAAAGAAAATCCCCCCCCCCCTTCCTTAGCACCTGTGATTTCATCCATGGCACCAGCACTCTTGTTGGGTTGGATGCGACTTTGGCACTTCCCCCCACCCCAAAGAATAATCCTTCCTAGATAGTGACTTCTGCATGCAGCCAAAACAGATCATTCGGCTGTGTTGATGGCATCAGAGAAGCCCGCTAGTTCAGAGGCAGGACAGACTCGGTCTTGTCTGTTTTCTAGGAAGCAGGAGAGGTGCTTCTCGAACACAGCATCCCCCTGAGCCACAAAGCATAGGGAATCGGTGCAGGGAAAGGTCTTCTTGAGGGTCTTTCAGGAAGATTTGGACCCCTTGAATGTGCCTTTTTGCACATTTGAAGACACTTGCAGGCATGCTTTTGGCTCGGCTGTAGTTTGTTTTGTTTTGGGGGTTTTTCTTTTCCCTCTTCGGACCCAGAAGGCAATGCTGATATTCCCAACATTCACAGAATGTTATGGGGATGATAAAGACGGGGGGGAGGGGGGGGGGGGGGGGGACTTAAGCATACGACTCTTCTGAATATATCTCGCTCCTTTGGTTTGAAGATCACTGAGCATGGAAGTCAAGTGTGAAATACCTTCTGATTTAAATGCTGTGGGTGCTGGTTACATTTACCCTGAAAACAGCCCTTAAAAACTGGATCCTTAAGGCTTTGAGACACAAGGCCCTGCGCTCTCTGGTCTGCGCCCTCCGGTGCTGTTGTGTTCAAGCCCCTGGGACTGGTCTGGAGCAAGCAGGTCGTGAACCGTGGCCGTATTTCAGAGCATCTTCTGCCACTTTACGAGATGTAACGCGGTGCGTTACGTAACTGGGTAAAATACCGAAGGTTCCAGGAATATCTACTGACTTTAAATAAGGAGGTTTTGGCAGGAAAAATGGATATTGTGAGAACGGGTGTACCTGGAACTTGTGACACCTTTCCTTGGCAGAATAAAGGGATACAGGAAGGACAAGACCATAGAATATTTAAAATTCTATGCCAATATTTTAATATAGTACCTTTTATTGAACGTACTGGAAACATCATGCATCAGTTTTTTGGTGCCAGATATTTTTGTCCCAAACCGACCTCCTTATAACATTACGATACCCAAGAAAGTAACTTCTAATTGTATAATATTTTTTTTCCTGTAATCAGTAGTGACCGTTTGCACAAAATCCTTATTTAAGTTACGTGCTTCGGTGCCGGTCTTGCATCCCGTTAATTTTAAACTTTCCAGCAAATCGCTTTGTTTTACAGTTAGCTCTATCTTTTAGTAGAGTATTTGTAAACAGACAAACACAAAAGGACTTGTAAGTTTTTGATTCACTTCTGGAATTAAAATCTATACCTAACAGGTTTGATCCTTCTTTCCATGTGAGTACGGGTCTTCGGAGTTTTTAATTTATATCCATGTTGAATGTGGGCTGACTCAGACTGTTTTGCCTTGAGAGAATGTCCCGAATGGCTCAGGCTAGCCAGATCTCGTCGGATCTCAAAAGTTAAGCAGGGTCAGCCCTGGTTAGTCCTTGGCTGGAGGATCGCCAAGGAAGTCCAGGGTCGCTACGCAGAGGCAGACAATGGCAAACCGCCTCTGTTCCTCTCTGCCCTGACTTAGCCCAAGCTAGTCTGATCTCAACTGATGTTGGAAGCTAAGCAGGGTGGGTTAACATAAGAACATAAGAGACGCCAATGTTGGATCAGGCCGGTGGCCCATCCAGTCCAACACTCTGTCACCCAGGGGCCAAAAATACCAGGTGCCATCAGGAGGTCCAGCGGTGGGGCCAGGACACCAGAAGCCCTCCCACTGCTGACCCCCCCAAGCACCAAGATGACAGAGCATCACTTGCCCCAGAGTCCCTATCTATACCTTGTGGCTAATAGCCACTGGTGGACCTCTGCTCCAGATGTTCATCCAATCCCCTCTTGAAGCTGTCCATGCTTGTAGCTGCCACCACTTCCTGTGGCAGTGAATTCCATGTGTTAATCATTCTTTGGGTGAAGAAGGACTTCCTTTTATCCGTTCTAACCCGACCGCTCTGCAGTTTCATGGAGTGCCCACAAGGAGTTCTTGTATTGTGAGAAAGGGAGAAAAGTACCTCTTTCTCGACCTGCTCTTTCCCATGCATAATCTTATAAACCTCGATCGTGTCACCCCTCAGTCGCCGTTTCTCCAAGCTAAAGAGCCCTAAGCGCCTTAACCTTTCCTCATAGGGAAAGTGTTCCAACCCTTTTATCATTCTGGTCCTGGTTAGTACTCGGATAGGAGACCACCAAGGAAGTCCAGGCAAGGGCAAACCGCCTCTGAACGTCTCTTGGCTTGAAAACCCTACAGGGTGGCCATAAGTCAGCTGTGAGGAAAATGCCACTGAGTGTTGGGAGCATACATGGCTGTGATTTTCGTCATTTGTCTTGGTGATGTCCCCGTGGATTCAGCTCCTCACTGGCCCGTTAGGCATAACTTGTCAGCCCGTTTCACTGGTGGAAGGCGTAGTTGGATTGCAGAGGAATGCAACTAGGTATGAGGTGAGCGCCAACATTGGTGTGATGGCTGTTAACGCCAAGAAAGCAGAGATGACTGGCCACCAATGTTCCCTCTAAGCTGTGGAGTCTTGTGAGCAAAAGTTCTACTTTTTAAGCAACTGGCATTAAAGTTGTGAGCAAGCAATTTGGCTCCTGCATAAATCAGTTTGCTCTGGAGCCCTCCCTCCTGAACTAAGACAAAAATCTGTGAGCCAGAGGCTAAAAAACTGTGAGCTAGCTCACACCAACTCAGCTTAGAGGGAACACTGCTGGCCACTGACATCTGTTTGCAGTGCGTTTCTCAACAACCCATAGGGGGCTGGGGGATTCCTAAGTGAAATGCTGCCGAGTCCCCCAGTTTATTAAATTTCTCTCCCTCAACTTTATTTTATTTATTTATTTATTGCATTTTTACCCCGCCCTCCCCGCGAACGGGCTCAGGGGGCGGCTTACACGAGGGCACAAGCCCATACATAAAAACAATATAAAACATCCCGCTAACCCAGCGGTTCGAAAGCGCCATTAATATCAAAATAAGTGCGATTGGATAAATGGGGACCTACCTTAGATGGTAGGGGGCACCCTCCCCCATTGTGGGGGTCGTTGGAGGGTCGGAGCTCGGCGGACGGCGAAAGCAGCGAGCGGCGAAAATGGCGTCCGAGTACATCGGTGGCGAAACCAGACGGCGGTGGAGAAGGCGGAGCCGGGACGACGCACGAGCGTAGCGGCGCAGGTGGGGCGGAGCCGCGAGGACAGAGCCATGGCCGTGCCGAGCATGCCGCGCGGCAGAAGGGCCAACCAATCCACCGCTGAAAAAAGATTGCCAGAAAAAGGAGCCAGAAGCTGAAGACGACGGAGTCGACCCGAGAAAAGAAAGCCCCCTCCACTAGGTGCCGGTAGGGATGTCCCCACCCCTAAGAATTGTGGCCATAGGTTAGGGATAATGAATAACTGTAGCCGCTCAGAGACCCCTTCGGGGGTTAGAGCGGGGTAGCAAGTCGAAGAAATAAATAAATAACATTAAAAGCTATTAAGTCACAACAAAGACAAATAAAGTGCTCCATACAACAAGATGGTCTCTTTAAAACTCTATTGCTGCGGGTTGAGAGACTCGCAGAGGTGAGGAGCCTTAGATTTGCATACCGCGTCCATTGAAGATTTTGCAGCCTGGTACCAGCCACATAAGGAGCTGCGGTGGCTCAAGTGGTTAAGACGCTGAACTGCAGGCTGTGGAAGGTCAGTAGTTCAGCAGTTCGAGACCCGAGTGTGCCGCATGATGGAGTGAGCTCCCGTCTCTAGTTCCAGCTCCTGCCAACCTAGCAGTTCGAAAGCAAGAAATTGCAAGTAGATAAATAGGTACCACTTCG